CACTAACACTCACTCCCAGTTACCAAATTCATTTGTATATGCTGCCTCTAGATGTCCTTAGAAGGGGCATGTACAATTAAATGGGGAGTGCTGGAGGGTAGGGGTAAAGTTAGGGTTAGGGTTAGGGATGAGGGGAACAAAAGAAACTCTTGCCCATGACTGTAGGGGAAAGATCTCATAGTGTTTTAATCAGTTCCCAAGCACTTCTATATCAAAATGCTTGTAATATGCTAAATAAATTTGATTTAATGAGAATAGACTTTCCGCCAAGATCTTGAGAGCGAGAGGGTTACAAGACTTGTTTTTAATACCCAATAGTGTTCCATTGTCTAACGTTTATCTCGTCTACTGTTTGCAGTCTGAACCAATTTGATATATTGGATGACATTTTGGGTTGTTAACCAGCAGTTGGTATTTAGACACAAGGTAAAATAAAGGATTTTAATCTATTCCTATGACTATGGGCTGTTAAAAAACACACACGACAATAGGCTTTTTATGCAGCATGGATCTGGTCAATTCAGCATATAACAAAAGAAGGCACCCCCTCCCCCCAAATTAGCAAAGGGATCCCAAGTAGCCAGCATTTGGTTAACACATCATAACAAAAGAAACATCGCCATAAAGTTCCATACAATATGATGTTTCTTCTCAATATTAAACTATACACAATACAATAATACTATGAAGACATTCATGGAAACAAAAAATAGTTCAAAACAACTTTGCGTCCTAACCTTGTAGTCATGAAAGGAAATGAAAAAAAACAAAAACCTTATAATCAAAAGGACAGAAAACAAGGGGTAAAGTAAATAAAAATAGCCACTAAAAATCCCATTCTAAAATCATGAACTTTTATAAATTAATATGCAATTTGATATATAACTTTTTTTAAAAGCACTAAAGACAGACCTGTAATGTTTTTAGTACCATATCGTATCAGTTTGAGAAGTACTCACTGAATAAATGTTATATCATTCAGCAATACCAGGTGTTCGGAGGAGCAACGAAAACAATAAATTGCATAAAATAAGCTTTACTCCATCGATATATGCACTTTTTAAATAAAGGATTCAGTCAGCAATGACAGGAAGTGTGCAGTCAATCCAGTGAGTAGTCTTTCTTGTGTCCATCCTGGACAGGAGCAGCCATAGAATGCGATACAAATCCAAAATTTTGCATATTTCAGCAAATAACCACATTGGTTATGAGGGACACAGAATTAACATTCCATGCTAACATCAAGTATTCCATTTATGAAGTTCTTTCACAGGGTCCATATATATTAAAATAAAATCCATGAAACAAAGACTTCTTCTCCACAAGTATAAAATATTTGCTGCCATAAGAGTTCCTTAACTGCTGGGTTTATTTGGCCAATCCATGGAATAGATATGGCACAACAGGTCTGACTTGCTGCTAGTTTTTTTCACCACCAACTACACCGATGTACTGCCACTATTTGCACCATTAGTACTACCATTACTACTACTACTACTACTGCTGCAACTATGTGTATCCTGCACTTGGCAATCTGAAAAGGAAAATTTTAATATAATGAATGCAGCACAAGTACATCAACTTGATTTTTTAAAATAGCACAGATAAAATACATACCGGTACTAATAATATTTGCAATTAGAATATTCTCCATAACTTGCATAGCATGTAGTAATACCGGTAAGTAGCAACATTTACATTTTCAGAAAACATCTTGAGTACTTATTCATTCAAGTATTTTGCAATGTCTTGCAATAAGAATTCCAATTTCTGTGACAGGTGATCTTATCATAACAAACCAAATATATGAACATATCAATTGACTGAACACCATGTACTGTCTCTGATCGTGAAAACAACTTTTTACTCAGTTTTCAACTTAAAAAAAGACACAAAATGTGTACAGAGTTTTCTTTTACTCCCTAGCTTCTTGAAAATATATACATTGCTATGGTTACAGGTAAATTATAACTTAAATAATTCAATAGTATAATTATTAGGCATTGGACGAGAGTGAAAGGCTATACTTTGGTTCTCAAGCCGTTGACATTTTACAGAAAAAAATATTGGTTTTTCCATGTGATAACAAAAATATAATAAAAAGTATATAGCAAGTTTCAAATGAAAACAAATACGAATAGTACACTTCATAGGTGAATAACTTACTGTCGTTTGAGGTGTGAAAAATTTGATTATTGTTATCACTTTGTCATAATAGAACATACAAAAATCAAT